CCCACTCAGCTCAGGATTTAGGCTTCGAACTGGTAAATAAAGCTGCACCAGAAAGTGTTGAGCATCAAACTGGTCAATTAATAGTTACAGAGGTTCAGGTCAGAGTATCTCTGTCTAAACAGTCCCTGAGAGAGATAATCATCCCACCAGTTCTGAGAAATGTAGAGAGAACTTGTATCTTAAGTGACTCATTTAACATAAAAGCAGCCTATTAAGTTGTCTATTTTGAAATTTCACTCTACAAAATTTTCAAAAAGCTTCTAAATGCATATTCAGCTTTGTTATGGCATGTGAAGAACATTATTAAAGAGAAACAGATTCTAAGGGCATAGAGAATAATGGGCTCACCCTCTCCACTAGTGAACACTTAGAGTCTGACATCATCCATCCGTTTCTCTGTGTCCCTTGCAAGGCGACGGTCATGCCCTGGGCAATCTCAAGGAACACTCCTTTCCCATATTCTATTGGAGATGTTGGAAGAACCATCTAAAATGTGCTACATTCTGGTACTGGCCCTTTCATGGCCAAGCTGTGATCCTTTGGGCAAGTTGTTCAAACTCTCTAAGCTTAGTTTTTCAACTGCAATAAGGACGATTCTAGCTCAAAATCTGGGCAAGTGTGAGTCACTGCCATTATGTGCAGTCAGGCTCTGTCATGTCTCCTCCATCAAGCTACCCAGGAGGCTTGGGAGAATCAAATATAAGGAGGTGTAATGCTATCAAGTTTAGAAAACATACAAATGCAGCTTCAGGACAACAACTTTCCTCCTTCTAGCTCATTTGAATCCCACAGCAATCAGGAAACATAACTGTCAGGTAATATTTTTATATCCTTTTGGGATGAGCAAACTAAGCTTAAGCAAGGTTAGGTTATTTACTCAGAAGCACATAGCTAGTAAGTAGCCTAAGAAGAACCTGGGCCTTTAACCAAATGCTGCAGACTTTCTACCCTACTCGCTGACTCTATAAAAAAGGCAAACTGGCCAGACCAGGCATGGTCCACCAGTCTTACTAGTGTCACCCAGGTGCTGGCTTGTATTAGGTTGGTGTAAAATTAATTGCGGTTTTGGCCACTACTTTTAATGACAAAAACTGCAATTACGTTTGCACCAACTCAATACTTCCTGAAGCCTTTATTTTTACCAAGCAGAAGGGAATGTACCCCTTCCTCATGCTTCCACACAGGAAAATATACTCTACTAAGCATTGCTGAGCAATGTTGATCTCACTAGAGACTTCATTTCATGGGGACAGAAAGATTGGAGAATTTGACTTTGTACTTCCACACACCACATCATCATCACCACCACAGATGGGTTTTTTCCTACAGGCTCTTCTCTCTGCCTCAGCCTCCACCAGGCTGCAGACGACCAGACAGAGGGAGGAAGGAAGGAGAGAGAGAGAGAAAGACAGAGAGAAGCAGAGCCTAGGATGCTACATGTAAACAGTGAAGTAGATACACCACTCCCAAATCAACGACTGTAATCCAAACTCTAACCACATCCCGCAGAGAGGGGCAGGTTCAGAATTTCCATAAGGAAGAGTGTCACTTAGGGGTCCCAGTCTAGCTGGAAGGGACGGGGGTGCTTTGTTTTGACACAGCATGTGCAAAGCAAACACATCGTTTCCATTTAGCTTGTGTGCTTATCTGGGGTGACACTGGCAAATCAGAAACACGACTATATGAAAGAGTGTTTGTGTGGAGGAAAAAAAAGACAAAGACAGTGACCAAAGAGGCTTCAGCACTCTGCCAGGTGAAGGAAAAAGTGCAAAGGCCCAGAGTGTTCCCGCAGTCAGGAACTGGCAGCCTAGGAAGGCAGGCACATGGTCAGTGAAACTCGGCAGGAAGAAGCATGGCTCCAGGGGTTGGGATGGGGGCTGAAGTTCCATCATATGATGAAATACTCTCTCTGAGCCTTCTAGTTTTTTATATTTTTGAGACGTTGTTTCGCTCTTGTTGCCCAGGCTGGAGTGCAATGGAACCATCTTGGCTCACTGCAACCTTCGCCTCCTGTGTTCAAGCGATTCTCCTGCCTCAGCCTCCTGAGTAGCTGGGATTACAGGTGCCCGCCATCATGCCCAGCTAATTTTTTGTATTTTTAGTAGAGACAGGGTTTCACCATGTTGGCCAGGCTGGTCTTGAACTACTGACCTCCAGTGATCCGACCGCCTGGGCTTCCCAAAGTGCTGAGATTACAGGCGTGAACCACCGCATTCGACCCGAGCCTTCTAGTTATGAAAGTGAACTTTGAGACCAAGTTTTCTTCCTCCTGGGCCCCATTGACCACCGCCACCTACTTACCCCCAGCCAACGGGTAACCGCAGCTTAGGAGACCCCAGCTAAGGAGGAAAAAACAAGCTTCCTTGGGAACCAGAGCACTTTATCAAACCAAGACGCAGCAAGGCCCCGTTTTTAAGGCCGGGGAGCCCCTACTCCCTGCCATTTGGACGTTCTGTGTTCTCTTCAACAGAGCCAGTTTGACACCAGGCCTGACTCCTCAACAGCATTGCCTAGTTGGTTTAAACATATACTTATCATCATATATAATTGTGTATAGAAAAAGACACTAGGAGAAAATACCTAAACATGTGTTTATCTCTGAATGATGAGATTAAAGGTATTTTATTTTCTTTTTTATGCTTTCTGTGTTTTCTTCCCACCCAAAATTTTTATAATGAATAAGCATTACTTTGGAGAATAGAAAAAAATAATTGGTTTTGCTTTAGAAACACACACACACAGGTGGACGGAAATGAGGGAGTGGTGAGGAGGTGGGAAATAGCCAATAATCCAGTCTCAGGAAGCCATGCGTGGATGACCCGGTTGTCAGCTCCTCCCGCGGGGATAGGCGGATCTGAGGCCCACCCCGCCGGCTCACCTGGCCGCCCGCGAGCCCCGCACCTCGGCCCCGGCAGAGGGCGCTACGGAGCCGGGCGCCGGTGCGTTCTCGCCCTTCGGTAGGAAGGGCGATTCTCAGCGTCACGTCCTCTCCAGTGGAGGACATGAGCCCTCCCAGGGTCGTGGGAGAGCCAGCGCAGAGGGGAAGGCACCTTGTACGCCGTGAAGCGGGGATGCAGTTGTTACCCTAACCAGAAGGGCACCCCGTCACAAATACTGGCGCGCCCAGCGCGCGTGCGCCACCCGCTTCCCTGCAGAGGGCGCCGCGGGCCAGCCTCGTCGAGCGGGGTGGGATACCAGTAGCCCAGAATAGCCCCCGGAGCAGGCCCGCGCTGCCGCCGCGGACCCCTCTTGGCCAGCCTCCTGCGCCCAGAGCCTCCCCGCTGGAGCTCCACCCTCGCCCGGAGGCGGCTTGTTCACCCAGCGCGCGCCCAGGGGAGCGGCTGAGCCTGACAAGATCCCATTGCCCCCAAAACCCCAAGAGTGACTGCACTGGTTTTGCAAAAAAGGAAGGAAGGACAGAAGGGAGGGAGTAAGGGACGGAGGGAGGGAGATAATACGTAATAGTATGTAGTTGTGAAAAATCCAAATAACGTGTGTATATTTAAAAAATCAGTCCTTTCGGCCAGGAGCGGTGGCTCACGCCTGTAATCCCAGCACTTTGGGAGGCCGAGGCGGACGGATCACGAGGTCAAGAAATCGAGACCATCCTGCCCAACATGGTGAAACCCTGTCTGTACTGAAAACACAAAAATGAGCTGGGCGTGGTGGTGGGCGCCTGCAGTCGCAGCTATTTGGGAGCCTGAGGCAGGAGAATTACTTGAACCCGGGAGGTGGAGGTTGGAGTGAGCCGAGATTGCTCCACTGCACTCCAGCCTAGCAACAGACACTCCGTCTCAAATAAATAAATAAAAACAAAAAATAAGTCCTTTCTGCTGACTCCAAGTTTTAGAGCCTTACTCCTCTAATGCAAATTTTAAAAATCTCTGAATCTGCCTGTAAACTATAAAACCCCTGCTTCCATCTTTAAGCACCCTGCTTCAAGATCGCTTGCCTTTTCTGCTGAACTAATGTATACCTTCCCTGTATTGATTTCCGTCTTCACCTGTAACTCCTGCCCTCCTGAAATGTATAAAATCAAACACATGCGGCTGCCTCAAACACAAGCGGCTGCCTCGGGACCACTTACTCAAGGCTTCTTGGGTTGTGTTTTCCGGGGGCGGAGGTTACTCATACTGGCTTGACTAAACCTCTCTTTCAGATATTTTACAGACTGATTTTTCTGTTTACAGTATTAATCAAAATGTTAACATTGGTAACTTCTAGGGGTAGAATTATGAATGATTCTTGTTTCCTGAATGTTCTACAACATTCAGAAATGGTGTATTTGGGGTTGGGGGAGAATTGTTACTATTTTTAAATCCCATCTACTCTTGGGGCTGTCCTCATTCTACATAAACAGACTAACTCCCGGTGGCAGCTCAGAGTCTTTTTATCGTGCACGGAGAGATTCATCATCTCCCACCCACACCAAGCAGCACTTTAGGTCCCCTGGTAACAGAACTGAAGGTTTGTATCTCAGTGACTAATGATTATAATGCCCTTGGCTACTTCCTGTATTTTTACCAGCTCCAGGAGCAGATTAATCAGAGAACGTTCCCTGCTGGCTTCTGGGAAATAACAATCACAATGATGACGCTATCAAGTCTCTGTGGATTAAAAAACCTTTACAAAGGGGCGTTCTTTCTTTTTGTCTTGTTTTTTGTTTTTTTGTGTTTTTTTTTTTTTCTGTTTTGGTTTTTTTGTTTTTGTTTTTTTGAGACGGAGTCTTGCTTTGTTGCCCAGGCAGCAGTGCAGGAGCATGATCTGTGATCTGGGCTGGGTGCAAACTCTGCCTCCTGGGTTCAAGCGATTCTCCTGCCTCAGCCTCTGAAGCAGCTGGGACTACAGGCGCCCACCACCACGCCCGGCTAATGTTTGTATTTTTAGTAGAGACAGGGTTTCGCCCTGTTAGACAGGCTGGTCTCAAACTCCTGACCTCAAGTGATCTGCCCGCCTCAGCCTCCCAAAGTGCCGGAACTGCAGGCATGCGCCACTGTGCCCAGCCACATTGTTTCTTTTTGAGTCTTCAAAAGAAATTTTGAAAATTTTCTTTGATTTTTGAAGGCAGAAAACCCAAATTCGGATTTGAAGCTTGTTCTAGTCAACCTAGAGTCTTTTTGTCTTTGGGAGCTATATAGACATTACAAGTCTCTTCCTTTCCTTCCCAGCAGAAAAGCCTTTGATGCTGTATTGTTAGCACATGGAACCCTAAACCAAAGCCTGCAGTGGGATGTTTGTGAGAAGCATGTGTGCAAAGCCTGAGAGACTACCCTGTTGGGTGTGCTGCTGGGCAGGGGTGTTCTGGTTTGACTTTGTACACGTAAGTGACTTATTTTAAATACATGTATTTTTTAATCACAATTTTAAAGGTAAATTAAGATGCTTAACATTTTGGTAACAGAGGGAGGAAACAAACAAGAGTCCTGTGTAAACCTTTCATTCCCTGTGGATCAACCATTTCTAGTAAGTTCCTGTAGAGTATCTACTTCACCAGCCAGTATGATCAGCAGCAGGGAGCCATTACTCCAGGGACATTCTCAGACTTTAACATTTCACCAACAAGTAAAATTCCAAAACAACTTTAGGAATTGGCCATGGAATGCCAGCTTTTAGTTTGTCAAATGAAATTGTTAGGAACCTGCCATCTACTGGCACTACTCTTTTTACAAAAGAAAGACATGTTGACCACAAGAAATGGACCTGATCTCAGAATAAAGGACCGTCTCTTAAAAGAAAAATTCACCTTATAGAATATTTTGCCATATTTTCCTTAATTTTTCATTTTTCCAAAATGAAAATGTTATTACCAACTTGCATTTTGCTCATTTGCCTTACTTCGTCACTATAGCCCAGTGATTATCATTGAATCTTTATTTGATGGGACCTAGTCTTTAACATTTTAGGGCCATGATACTGAGTATCATTGAACAGTATCAAGAACATTGAGGTCAGAAATGTTAGATATCTGATTGACTTCATACTAATTCCGGGATCTTATACGAATCCTGCAACCACACTTTTGAATTTAGATAAGTATACTACTTTAATTTAGATGGCATTGTTTTTGTTTCCGTTGAGTTGTACGGTACTTTCTAGGTATTATAATTGAAGGTCTTTTTACTTGGATTCTTGTCTGTTGAAGGCACTCTGCTAGTGACCACCCAACGAACAGAGAATCTTGATATCATACTCTTTGGTCTAAAGTCTCTTTCGAATTATAATCATTGAATTTCAAGCAAGCAATGCTTTGAAGGTGGGTTGTACTAGCCAACAACTTAAATGAGTTGAGGCGAAGCACAGTAAGAATCAATTGAAACGAAAGGGGTACTATATACAAACAATTTTTTTAACCTTCTCTAGAACTGAAGCAGATACTAGGACAACATTCATCTTCTCATGCCTTAAAAGCAATAAAAAGGGCATTCAGTCTGTAGGAGAGCTCTCCTGATTTGTCAATGCCTGCAATGCGTAGCTCATATCTCAACCTGCTGACATTGTCCCCGCGCACAAGCCTGGTAGAATAAATACAGGGAAGCTCCGTGGATGATGAGACAGGCAGGAGGTTTTCTGGGCACAGGCTCTACTGTATTACAGAGTAGAAATAACAACCTTAACCTTAAATATGATTTTCTTTCCAAACTTGAAATTAGTTGGTGTTAAAGTATTTCAACCAGGGAAAGAAAAACCCTTTAGCAGTTTTATATTGTCTTGAAATGGAAATCTTTGATCCAGGGCCTGGATGTCTGGGAACAGCGTGCATTTGCAGCCTCAGATTTCTTGAACTGCGATTCTCAAAGAAGCTTCCATCAGAAAGGACTTTGCAGAAGACTCACACAACATTGGTGCTTCTGTAGGCTTCATCCTTGACTTTGTTCCCTCATTCTTTTCTAGGTCAGGCCATCTCAGACTTGTGGCTGCAGCTGTCACTTAAGAGCCGCACACCTCCTAAATTGGTACCTCCAGCTCTGACTTCTCTTCACTGCTCCAGACACGTGTATTTTTCTGCTTGCCAAACATCTTCCACACAACAGGCACTTTAAACTCAACATATTCCAAATCAAACTAATCACATTCTGCTCGCTATCGGCAGCCTTCTTCACTCTCTTATTCCTTTATTTTGGTTAGTAGCAGTGTCATTTACCAAACTGCTCAAGCCAAAAGCGCTGGTGTCAGCCTAAACTCCACACTCTTCTTTCACCTCCATTGTCTAATGGTCACCAAAGTCTGTCCCCTCCTACCCTAGCATATCTCACCCTTCCATTATCTTGCTTCCATCCCATTGTCACTGCTCTATTTCAGGCTCTCATCACTTCTCATCTGGACTGGGGCAACTGCTTTTTTTTTTTTCCATTAAAAAATTTTATTTATAATTGATAATAAGTATACATGTATGTGGGGTACAGCGTAATGTTTCAATACATATATATATATATTATGTAATGATCAAATCAGAATAGTTGTCCATCACCTCAAACCTTTATCATTTTTTGTGATAACTTTCAAGGTCTTCTTTCCTAGCTATCTTGAAATGTGCAATGCATTGTTAATTAGCTATAGTCACTCTACTATATAGCAGAACTCCACAAATTAGTTTTCCTATCTAACTGTAACTTTGTACCCATTAACCCTGCCCTCCCAGTCCCATCCCCTCCGGAACCTTTGGTCACTGTTGTTCTACCCTCTGCTTCTATGAGATCACCTTTTATAGATTCCACATGTGAGTGAGATCATTTGTCTTTCTGTACTTGGCTTATTTCACTTAACATGATGTCCTCCAGGTTCATCCATGCTGTTGAAAATGACAGGATTTTGTCCTTTTTATGACTGAATAGTATTGCATCTATCTATCTATCTATCTATCTATCTATCTATCTATCTATCGATATATATCTCACATTTTCTTTATCCATTCATGCACTGATACTTAGCTTGATTTCATCTCTTGGCTATTGTGCTAAGCCCTTACTATAGTGCTGCAGTGAACACGGGAGTACCGATATCTCTTTTGACTTATTGATTTCAATTCCTTTGGATATATATCCAGTAGTGGAATTGCTGAATCATATGGCAGTCCTATTTTTCACTTTTTAAGGAACTTCCATATTGTTTTCCACAGTGGCTATGTTAATTTACAGTCCCACCAATAGCATATGAGTTCTCCTTTCTTCACATCTTCAACAGTAATTGTTATTTTTTCTTTTTCTTTTTTTTTCTTTTTTTTGCCATTCTAACTGGGGCACAGTGATATCTCATTGTGGTTTTCCTTTGCAGTTCCCTGATGATTACTGATGTTGAGTATCTTTTCATATATACATATATATATATATATATATATTTCTATGTCTTCTTTTGAGAAATGTCTATTCAGGTCTTATTCCCATTTTTGATTGGATTACATGGGCTTTTTTTTTTTTTTGCTATTGAGTTGTTTGAGTTTCTTACATATTCTGGTTCTTCCTTTTTTTTTTTTTTTTTTGAGATGGAGTCTCGCTCTTGTCACCCAGGCTGGAGTGCAGTGGTGCGATCTCGGCTCACTGCAACCTCCGTCTCCTGGGTTCAAGCAATTCTTCTACCTCAGCCTCCCGAATAGCTGGGATTACAGGTGCCTGCCACCACACCCAGCTAATTTTTGCATTTTTAGTAGAGAGGGGTTTCACCACGTTGGCCAGGCTAGTCTCGAACTCCTGATCTCGTGATCTGCCTGCCTCAGCCTCCCAAAGTGCTGGGAATGAATTTCTTACATATTCTGAATATTAACCCGTTAAACCAGTGCATAGTTTGCAGACATTTTTTCCAGTTCTGTAGGTTGCCTCTTTGTTGATGGTTTCCTTTCCTGTGCAGAAGCTTTACAGTTTAATGTAATCCCATTTATCTATTTTTGCTTTTGTTGCCTGTGCTTTAGAGGTTCTATCCAAAAAATTCTTGCCCAGATCAATGTCATGAAGCATTTCCCCTATGTTTTACTCTAGTAGTTTTATAGTTTTAGGTCTTCCATTTACATCTTCAATCCATTTTGAGTTGATTTTTGTATATGGTGAGAAATAGGGGTCTAGTTTCATTCTTCTGCATGTAGATGTCCAGTTTCCTCGGCACCACTTATTGAAGAAACAGTCATTTTGGGGTAACTACTTTCTAACAGGTCTCTGGGGCTTGGTATTACTGCACCAGAACCCTTCCATATAGCTGTCAGAGATGGCAGTAAAACAGCTCAGTTTATATCTCTCTGCTGTTTAAACTTATCTGATGATTCTTCATTGCCAGCAGGATAAAGTCCAAACACCTTGGCTTGTCATATCAAGTCCTTCCCCATCTGGTGCCCATCATCCCAGCTACCTCCTCTGACACTCTCTACCATGCATCCTATGATTGCCCCCCGGTTTTACATTCTCTTCATCTTCCTGATTAAAATAATAACACTTGTTGAGTACATGTCCTACTCTCTTTTGCCATTAGATGTGGCCAGGTGACAAAGTTCTGGACAGTGGAATGTAAACAGAAGTATCATGTGAGAGTTTCCAAGAACTTTTTCAGGAGGGAGCAGACACATGTCCTTGCCCTCCCTTTTTGTTTGCTCCCTTATCCATCCTATAGCCTGGAATACAGACATGATGGCTACCATCGTGGACTATGAACATGAGGATCACACCCAAGGGAAGGAGAAGCAGCAAGCTGGAAGGTGCTATGGAGCAGAACTGCCACAGCCTGACTACCTACCTCTGGAACTTTCTGTGAGAAATGAAATGGGCCCAACAGTCCCATAAACTGTTGTTTTTGGATAAACATAGAAATGGCCCCTTCTGCTGTTAAAGCTTGAAATTTGCATTTGTTTTACCTGAGTTCCCTCCTCAGGAAAGGACCTTCAGTCCTCTCAAAAAAGTATCAGAGAACTGACACTGCCTCCTTGTCCCTCCCTAGTTCCTGGTTTCTTAAACATTGTTACATATCTTCCCTGCTATGTAAGCCTCTAGGTTTAGTCAGTCAGGGAGATGGATTTGAGACTGAGCTCTCATACCTTGGCTGCAGCATGTGATTAAAGCCTTCTTCCTTGGCAATGCTTATTGTCTCAGTGATTGGCTTTCTGTGCGGCAGGACCTAGACTGAAACCCTGGTGTTTCCATAAAAGAAAAAGACCTCTAACTTGGTCAGGCCACTGTTATTCTGAGTATGTGTCCCTTGCTGCTGTGCCTAATCCTAATTGACAAAGAATTTGGTACCAGATCTGGGATGCTACAGGTCACTCCATGCTTACCTTTTTCTTTATGTTCATAAGAATTCAAGAAGCTAGCCAACCTCACAATCTTTGAACTCTTCACTCTTGCCATGAAGATTTATTACCATAGCCACTTGGCCTTCCAACGTTTTGATTTCCATGGATACTTTTTCTCCCAGGTGACTACAAGTGATAATTTATTTATTTTCAAGATGGAGTTTCACTCTTCTTGCCCAGGCTGGAGTGCAATGGTGCGATCTTGGCTCACTGCAACTTCTGCCTCCTGGGTTCAAGCGATTCTCCTGCCTCAGCCTCCTGAATAGCTGGGATTACAGGCACCTGCCACCACTCCTGGCTAATTTTTGTATTTTTAGTAGAGACGGGGTTTCAGCATGTTGGCCAGGCTGGTCTCAAACTCCTGACCTCAGGTGATCCACCCTCCTTGGCCTCCCAAAGTGCTGGGATTACAGGCATGAATCACCATGCCTGGTCTGCAAGTGATAATTTAAATAACTGTTCTGTCACTGCGTACCACAGACTGGTAGGGCTCGCAAAGTATATCTGTTTGGCAGAATCACATCCAGAACCACAGCTTCAAAGAATTCTGGAAATGTAGCTTTATTTCTAGATCTGCAGAACAGGCAAAACCCTGGGAACAGATGTTGAGTGAGTCGATCCAGAGTGTCTGGCAAACATCCCTCAATCCGGCCTCATGAGACAAGTCGTTCTTTGCCAGACTTGCTAAGAAGGTAAGGCTTCCTTTAAGTCATTTCTGCATTTCCTACTGCCCTGAATCTTATCTTCCTCCCTCCCTCCTTTCTCTGCTTTGTGAGCTTCCTTTTGCAGGGGGTGGGGGGGAGTAAGACCAAGGAAGCTAAACAAAGGCAAGCCCCAGACACCCACTTAAAACAGCACAACTCATCTAAATGGCTCACAGGTATCACAGGCTACTCTCTCAATATCCACATCCAACATCATCCCTAGCAAAGCGAACCCATCCTGGTCGCTGCTGGCTCTGAGTAGCACTTTCAACAATCTTTGCTTAACATTCTTAGAGGAATCACATTTATTGATTACAGACCTCTCTTTCCTGATAAAATGTACCCTCCTTGAGATCAGGAATATAAGCAGCTGTCATTGCATCCGACCCTTTCTGCATTTCTATTTGTATTCTCAGTCTGGCAAGGTGGAGTTGCTAAGGCAATGGTTGTCGAACTCATGAATATTGATAATGGCTCCAAAGCTGCCTCCTTTCTTAGACCAAAGGGTTAAGAGTATATAGACTCCGGCCATGTGGTGGCTCATGCCTCTAATCTCACTGAAAGAGCCTTGTTGTCTGGGGTAAATACCAAGGTTCTTGGTCTCACGGTCAAGGAAATCGAGGTCACAGACACACAGAGTGAGATTGGAGCAGGGGTTTAATAGGCAAAAGGAAAGAACAGCTCTCTGTCACAGAGAGGGGTCCAAGAGTGGGTTCCCAAGTTGTAGTAAAAATGTCAGGGCTGGCTGGGCACAGTGGCTCACACCTGTAATCTTAGCACTTTGGGAGGCCGAGGCCGGCGGATCACGAGGTCAAGAGATTGAGACCATCCTGGCCAACATGGTGAAACCCTGTCTCTACTAAAAATACAAAAATTAGCTAGGTACGGTGGCACGCACCTGTAGTTCCAACTACTCAGAAGGTGGAGGCAGGAGAACTGCTTGAACCTGGGAGGCGGAGGTTGCAGTGAGCCAAGATCGCACCACTGCACTCCAGCCTGGCGACAGAGTAAGACTCTGTCTAAAAAAAACAAAAGTTAGGGTTTTTATAAATGGGCTAGTGAGGAGGGGTGTCTTACCTTATTGAGGCCCGAAGATTTAGTTGGGACCAGGTGTGCTATGTGCATAGAGCAGAGTTTTCTATCAGCTCTCACCTCACTCCTTGATCACATAGGCAGAGTCAGTCTGTGCTGCTTTGTGCTGCTTTGTTTTGCTTATCTGGGAGGGAGAGTTTCTGTGTCTGTTCCCAGACATCTTCCTGCAGCTGCAGGCATCGCCCCACAATCCGCTTTTAGTTTCCCTATCTTAGTGTGCCTAACGGGGAAGGAATGTGCTTATTAAGGCCCACTGTTTTTACTGGGGTCCATTGTAGGCGTGTGAAGTTTGGTGATTACCCAGGGACTGCCCCTCTCCTTCTGTGCCCGAGTTGTTTATCTGTTTTTACAGTGTGATCTTTCAGGCTGTTCTTTGTTAGAAGTGATTTCTTTGAACTGCATGAGGTCAGAAAGGGAGCTATTTCTGAGCTGCTTTTTGTTAGACGAAAAGTTTCTGCTGGGGACTCGCTTTACTCTGTCTACCTAAATACATTCTGTCTGTCTCATATAACATATTTCCCCCTCAGGTATGGAATCCCTAACTGCTGTTAGGGGGAATTGGGCAACAGCTTCTTCTGGCTACTTCCCGCTGGAGAGGGACGTGGTATGGGAACAGCAGCTAGGGCTCCTCCTGGGGTCGATCTAACGGTCCCTGGTAGAAGGGTGCTTTCATTTTTGGCTCCATTTGCAGCACCGTCTGAAGCTTGATGGTTTCTAGGTGAGAAGAGAGACTTTACAAGGAGGTTTAGAATATGGGGTCCAAATACATGTAAGACTACCATTATTAGTGAGGCACTATAGGCCATAACAATGACAACAGAGTTTGTTTGATACCTGTGAGCCATTTAGATGAGTTGTGCTGTTTTAAGTGGGTGTCTGGGGCTTGCCTTTGTTTAGCTTCCTTGGTCTTACTCCCCCCCACCCCCTGCAAAAGGAAACCTCAGGGTTATAGGTTACCTTGCGGGATTTGTAAAGTGCCCAGAACTAGAACACTGTTCCAGATTTTTATATTACCCATTCCTTTCTGTCTCCTTTGAGCCACAGCTGGAGATTGATGGTTGGTTTACAGGAATAAGCATGATTAGTTTAAAATATTGACAAGAATTTAAAAACAACTAATGAGACTAGAAGTCAATGACAGATTGTATTAGTCCATTTTCACGCTGCCGATAAAGACATACCTGAGACTGGGCAATTTACAAAAGAAGGAGGTTTAATGGACTTACAGTTCCACGTGGCTAAGAAGGCCTCAAAATCATGGTGGAAGGCAAAAGGCACGTCTTACATGTTGGTGGCAAGAGAGAAATGAGAGCCAAGCAAAACAGGTTTTCCTTTATCAAACCATCAGATCTCATAAGACTTATTTATTACCATGAGAACAGTATGGGAGAAACTGCCCCCGTGATTCAATTACTTTCCACTGGGTCCTTCCCACAATTCTGGGAATACAATTCAAGATGAGATTTGGGTGGGGACACAGAGCCAAACCATATCACAGATGTACAATAAATTTGGAACATAATTTCTCTCTTTCCAGTTCTCATTTTTATTAAAAACAACTTATGATAGGACTGAGATGGTTGCAAAATAAACTTTAGTTTTATACTCCGCCTGATTATTTGCAAAAGTGCAGCGAGAATAATTACCTCTATGTAGGCCTTTTTGATTGGCTTTGATAGAACTCTGTTCCACAAGGAATCTTGGATAGGACCTTTTGAAGCCAAGTCCAGCCATGGGTTTGTACGCTGAAATACCCGTGAATTGGATAAACTTCTTTCTTCTTGAGGTTCCAGGAGCATGGGGTTTCCAGGCCTGTTAGAAAGTGACATTCTTTACTCACCACAGGTCAGGAATCCTGTACAGAGACTGTGTAGACAAGGTATGAAGCCAGTTTTCCCAAGAGGCTTTCATTGGCTCTGCAAGTCAAAGCTATGCAGTCAAAGCCTTGATAAAACAACCGGTTTTTCCAATTGTGTTTTGTTGCGAAGGATTCTTGTTGCACTGATGCAAATAACTGTATCGTTGTAATTCAAGAATACTTATAACTAGTTTCCAAATTCTAGAGGAACTAGGCAGAGAGAAACAAACATGCTCCAAACCTTGTTTACAGGAGTATAGTTTACTTAGTTCTTAAAGGCTTTTAAGAAAGTTTCTTTGACTCTGAAAAACAAAATAAGGATCACCAGTGTTACAAGCATAAATCAAGAATATTGCTTTAGTTTTCTATTAGTTCAGTCCATTCCATTAACTCTTGGTCTGGTTGTTATTCATAAACATTTCAGCTTTGTATGAGTCCTGTACATTTTCTTTTATCAAAAACCTGCATTTAAGAGCACCTATTAAAGTTCCATAGCCGATTACAAACTATTTTTTTTAAGAAGAAGATTCAAACAAGACAACAATTGTTTGTAAATGACAGAATGTCCAGGGTGGTTACAGTCAAGAACATGACTGACAAATTTGGTTATTTCTGTGGCTTACAATAACCTAACATAACAACCTTAATTGTGATTAACAGCATGTATTATTCAGACACTAGAACCTTAGACATCCCATAGAGTTTTGGAACATATGTTAATATTATTTCCTAAAATATAACTTGAAGAGTATTAGACATCATTTTGGCAATTCGATGAACCTAAACAAGTTAACTAATCCTATTTACCTCTCTTCCAGATGTTCCAGGGGCCCTGTGCAGAACCAGAACCTAGGGGTTAGGAAAGGTAACCTTGAAACTAAAGTTTGATTTTTGGGAAGCCTGTTAAATATGTTCAACATTTAAAACACTTGATATTATGAAATAGAATTTTCGATTACCATAAGTTTTTTGTTTTGCCAAAATGATGAGTCAAAAATTTGAAAAAGCAAAAACCATTCATCAGCCCTTTCTATTACATGAAAATTCTATCCAAGAGAGAATGTTAAATTTCACCCTTGCATTCGTTTGCTATTAATGTTAACCCTGATTTTAAATGAAACTTTATAGACAATCCTATTCAATCTTAATCAGTTTGACCATGAGGTGAGATTTACACAAACCTTTTATGACCCTCTACAAATTTTGCTAAAGATTAGCATTTTAAGAAAACCTTGTGCTTGTATTTTAATCCTTAATTTATAAAACTATATAATACCCCTTTGAAATTAGTTAATATGTTCATACACAGAGTTTCCTTTGCAAGATTAATTTTCACAATCTTTTTACAATTTGCTTAAACCTTCTGCTTTATTTTATTTAAGATAATCCTTTATTTCTAGGCAAAATGTATATTTCCATGCCTTCCTATCTTTAATTAAAAACAGCTTTTACTATTTTTTCACACACTTTGCATGCAAATCCATGTTCAGTAGTCTCAATTACATGTCATAATGGTAACTCTTAGCAATTTTTAACTTTGATGTAAAACCTGGTAGATTGTTTTAATTATGTGCTAGATGCAGATAAAGTTTGACTGCTTTCAGCATAGTTAGGGGCATGGTTACTTCCATATGTTCCCAGGCCTTACCAATTGTGAAGCAGGCAAGTTGACAATTTTTTAAAGGCTAAAAAGGCAGTTACAACCTTAAAACATTTATCAAACCTAGTATCTGACCTGCATAATTTAGATCACAGTTTTACACCCTGAAGACATGTGTATTTTACCAACAGTTTCTAAGACTGTTTTTATTTTTGATGATTAAAATTGTGTGAACTGAAAGGTACCACAGCTTTTACTTTTTCTTTAAAAATATTTTATTTAAGTGATTATTTTTCTTAGGCCAATTAATTATAGCTCTTTTCAAATAGACATTACACACATAACACATATATAACCACACAAACAGAAAAAGATCCAGTGGTTATAAAATTTTTCATTTGCTAATTTCCCAATGGATTATTGGCCTCCTGGTGAGACCCTTTAAGAACAGAGCTAGGAATACACTTTCCTCAGCCTAATAAACAAGCAAAGCTGGAAGACAAAGATAGATTTTGAGAACTACTTATTCACCTTGAATTCTAGGGGTTCCATGAAGAAAACAGATTTTTCTCAAAATGGGATTTGTGGCACCTTTTCTGTTTTCCCAAGGAGTACCAGGCCACCAGAAGCCATTCTAGGGTCTTTCATGCATGCACCAAGAGTAGTAAGACAGAGTGAAAAAAGGAATTCAGTTGACTGAGAAAAAATTCCCTTTTCCAAGAAAACAAGATCTATAAAGAGAAAAACATAAAGACCTTTTAAATATACCCATAGGTTTGATATCTACTTTCAATTAAGCTGAGCTCTCTTTAGGAAAATCCTTTATCATAAATAAAACTTTATAGAGAAGATAAACAGTGATTCTTACCATTTTTCCCCCAGTTTGCACCACTACTTTTTCACAATCATGTTTAGGTTCTCCAGTTTTCTCTGGGAGAAAGTGGCTGGGCTCAGGCAGGGGCAGGTTTTCAACTGGACTGCAGGATCCCTTTAGCAGCAAAGCTTGATATTTGAGGAGGCAACTGTCTGTTAGCCAGAGACTTTCCTTAGAGTACAGTAGTCCTGTTATATTGTGTGGAGTTAAACAGTTAAGTTATTCCCCATTGTTAACCCATTGGCTGTAGAGCTGGACCTCCAGTCTTAGTCAAAACTCCCAGGGCTATTTTATTCCTTTCTGATATATGTAAAGATTAAATACTTTCCCTACAGGAAGACTGAGAACTGGTGCTTTAAGCAAGCTTGATTTAGCTGGTTTAAGGCTTTTGTGTTTTAGGATCCCAAGTTAGGGAGCTGCTTGAGTTTCCTTTATGAGTTGGTATAAAGGATGAGCTATTTCACCATACCCAGGTGCCCACATTTTGCAAAATTCAGTAATGCCCAAGGATTTTCTTAACTGTTAAAGGAAACAGGGTTAATCCTTTCCTCACCTGGTACTCTGGTTCCTTCTGTGCCGTGTCTGTCCCATAGACCCTGGCCGATGGATGAAATGAGTACTCAGACACAGGTATGCAATTTAAGAGCAGCTAGGTGACTGCCTGGCTCTAGTGGCCAGACAGCAGCCCTGAGAAGCTGGAGCTGCTTGCTTTTATTCAGTGCAGGCACAATGCTGAAAACCTGGAGCCAACACAACCTGCAGGTAATTAACATTTATTGTTCCCCTTCCAGAGAATGTCACATGCGGGGATGATCCAAGGTCAGTTCCTGGTCAACGTAAGTAAACAAACCTGTTTAAGATAAATTCCCCGGCCGGGCGCGGTGGCTCAAGCCTGTAATCCCAGCACTTTGGGAGGCTAAGATGGGCGGATCAGGAGGTCAGGAGATCGAGACCATGCTGGCTAACATGGTGAAACCCCATCTCTACTAAAAAAAAAAATACAAAAAACTAGCCGGGCGAGGTGGCAGGCACCTGTAGTCCCAGCTACTCAGGAGGCTGAGGCAGGAGAATGGTGTGAAGCCGGGAGGCGGAGCTTGCAGTGAGCCCAGATCGCACCATTGCACTCCAGCCTGGGCAACAGAGCAAGTCTCCGTCTCAAAAAAAAAAAAAAAAAGATAAATTCCCCCACACTCCCTTGTACCTACTCCTTACCCTCTGCCTCTGGGTTATAGAACAGCTGGCTTCAGCCATTCTCCCCTGGTTCTCTGCAGAAACTTCTGACCTTTCAGAAGGTTTGTGTCCTTTCCCTATAGTTTTTATCACCACTCTGGCCGATCCCCCACACTTCTGATAAGATTAGGCCTAGGTACTTTACTGAAGTTTGACAGAGCTGAGCTTTAGATTTTTAGATTCTATACTCCCTTTTAGCTAAGAAATTGAGGAGAGTCTTAGTGCCTTCCTGAGACTTCCTTGATTGGGCCACAGAGGAGAGTGTCATTTACATACTGCAAAGTTTCAACTTGAGAGGGAGAAAAACTAGAAAGATTTTTAGACATGGCCTGTTTCAGCAACTTCCTTTTGATATCAAGGCTGCCTGAGTAATGAACCTGTTTTTTATTGAATTGGAAGACAGGGAGGTGTGTTTTATTATAGCTTCTGTCAGCCTTTCTAAAAAGGTAGGGAGATTTTTATCTGGTTTGTGATTCAACAAGGACAGTTTAGAGTAATTAAGAGGTTTGGTCCTAGTCCTTCTTAGGCCCTCTGATATGCACATTAAAAAGCGTTTCCTTTTCCATCCATCTGTGGGATCACAGGGATTCCAGTCAGGATTGTCAAGAGGTATAGTCTCTCTCCCTATTGAGAATGGTTTTTCTGTTATTTCCTTACCTTCCTTATCTCCCCTTTTCCTTTTTGGACTACTATAGGGAACATGTTGTTCATCTCCAGACTTTTTTCCTGCTTGCAGAGCTGTCTGCTTTTCAGCTGCAGTGAGGGTTTGGCTGAGAAACAGTATAACATCCCTCCATGTGAGGTCAAACACTTGAGTTAAATTTTGGAAGACCTCTATATATCTATTAGGGTTGTCAAGAAATCAGCCCATTTATTTGCCTAAGGTCCTGCAACGAGAAGGGAACAAGTACCTTAATGGTGCCCCTTCCATCTGGCATTTCTTGCAGGGGTAGGAGTGAAGCTGGGGCAGTGGGGAGCTTTGGAGATGGTGGAGCTGGAGGAGCTGATGGTGCAGTTGGAAGGGGCCCTGGATAAAGGGAACTGGAAGGACTGGGGCACTTATAAGCTGCCTCCAATAGCTCCTCCAAAACTTGCTCTTCTGACTTAGGGGAACTACTCTCCACAGACCTGTCTGATATGATTGCTAAGAGGGCTGACTCGGTTGTGCAATGCTTGCAAAGGTCTGGGTTGTCTTGCAAGGCAAAGGAAGCCTGCACATAGAGAACCTTGGACCATTTGCCCTTCCGTCTACAGAAGAGATCTAATTGCTGGATAAAATTAAAGTGAAGGTTCCCTTCAGCTGGCCAGGTGTGTTCATTCCTGAGAGGGTAAAAAGGCCACACCCTTGTGCAAAAGAAAATGAGTTGCTTTTTCTTCAGAGTTTGGGTGTCAAAGGAGTTCAAAATGTACTCCAGCAGAGTCTAAGTCAAAATGGCTTGCTACCCATCCTAGAAAAGAGACAAGAGGAGAGGCATCCCTCAGTTTTCTTGTTCTTTTTGGTGTGACCCAGGGTGGAGGGGACGACAGTGAAAGTGTCTCCCTGACTGTTCTCTCTCTTTGGTCCCTGGGTCCCAGCACAGTGTGTGCCTCCTTATGGTTGCCGGCGTGACCCTCAAACCATGGTCCCAGAGTAACTAAGTAATGGGGATAGTCACACTTACCCATGTGACCTTAGTCCTCTGCCTGATAATTGCCCTTTGACCTCTCAGACTTGTGTGATCTGTGTGGCTCCTTGATGGATGGGTATCGGGAGAGGTTATGTAACAGTTGCATTTAAGCAAGGCCCCTTAATGGGAGTGTACTGTACTGAGCCTTATACTCTGCTGTTATGGAACGGACTAGAGAATTCATTTTTAGGTGGTGGTTCCAGTTAGGTTCCAAACAGAAAATCCCCTTTCTATTTAGATGAAATACTCGTTGCAAGCAGAATAGGTGTCTCAAGAGAATATAAGGGTCAAATGGCAGCCGTCCTGCTAATGGAGAGAGTATTGAGACTAAAATTTGGTTTTGGAGGACATTTTTCTCCTCACTGCTGAAAGCAGAGTTCTCCCGCTCTCAGAGGGACATAAGGTTTGATCTCTATTAGAGGGATGTAAAAGGGAGAAAAAGTGGAAAGCTAGAGGCTTTTGGCAAAGGGCAGACTAGGTTGCCAATGGAGAGGATTCCTGTTCCACTAGGTGGCGCTGCAAGCTTTGACATACCCGGCAGTAACTTGGCCTCCATACGGAAGGAGAGGGAGAGTCTGACATGTGGCAGGTTATCCCTATGGCATGCCTCCTAGCAGGAGAAAGTTAATTCACCTCATAGAGGGACTATCCAGTCCGGCTGGGTAGTGCTGCCTCCTCACATGGGAGAAGAAACAGCCTAGGTGGAGAGAGGGATGTTCACTGGTGGGGAGATAACCTTCTACTCAACCCCAGGAAGTGCTATCATTAGGAGTTAGCCTTTCAGATCTGGATCATGAAATCCCCCTGTCAGTAGAAAGTCACAAAAACAGCAATCCCTTGACCTGCTTTTCTGGTTGCTAAGGTGGTTGCTAAGCCTGCCTAACTGAATTATTTCTCTGGGCTGTAAAATTCCCGCAGCATTGCATACAGAGAGGGGATGGGAGACATGGTGACCTCGAAAGGAAAGGAGGAAAATGAGATTGGCAATAGGAAAGCTTGGCAATCTTGTGGCCGACACTCAGTCGGGCAGTTGGAGGCTGGTGTTAGTCCAGGAGCCTTTGGGCAACACCAGGGTGTAGCCCTAGCCAGAAATCCTCAGTTGCCCCAGGACCTATTCCAGCCCCATGTGATGGCAAAATTCTCCATGAAAGGAAACTGGTTTGGACAGAGCCAACATTCCCAGCACCCTGAGGGCACTGGTATTGACTAAGTCCTCCCCAGCAAGCTTCACATCTGAGTCTTTAACACTGACAGCTAGCCCTTGTGACTCATTATTAGCCAACAGATGCCTGATTTTTTTTATAGTTCTTTGAGAGAATAACAACTGGGGATGAGAAGCCTTGGAAATGAAAGTAGAGAGTCCACTCCTTTACTCACCATTCCAATGAATTCACCTTCAAATCCTGGACGGGCCCCCAAAATGAAGCAGCCTGATTGTCTGGGGTAAATACCAAGGTTCTTGGTCTCATGGCCAAGGAAATAGAAATTGCGGACACACACACACAGAGTGGGATTGGAGCAGGAGTTTAACAGGCAAAAGGAAAGAACAGCTCTTTCACAGAGAGGAATCCTGAGCGGGTTGCCAAGTTGCAGTAAAAATGTCAGGGTTTTTATAATTGGGCTAGTGAGGAGGGGGTGTCTTATCTTACTGAGGCCCAAAGATTTGGTTGGGACCAGGTGTGCTATGTGCACAGAGCAGAGTTTTCTATCAGCTCTCACCTCACTCCTCCATCATGTAGGCAGACTCTTAGTCTGTGCTGCTTTGTGCTGCTTTGTTTTGCTTATCTGGGAGGGAGAATTTCTGTGTCTGTTCCCAGACATCTTCCTGCAGCTGCAGGCATCTCCCCCAAGTCCACTTTTAGCTTCCCTATCTTAATGTGCCTAAAAGGAAAGGAATGTGCTTATTAAGGCCCACTGTTTTTACTGGGGTCCATTTTATAAGTGTGAAGTTTGGTGATTACCTAGGAGACTCCCCACCTCCTTCTGTGCCTGAGTTGTTTATCTGTGTTTATACAGCCTGATCTTTCAAGCTGTTCTTTGTTAGAAGAGAAGCGATTTCTTTGAACTGCACGAGGTTAGAAAGGGAGCTATTTCTGAGCTGCTTTTTGTTAGAAGGAAAGTTTTCTGCTGGGACTCACTTTACCCTAACTGTCTACCTAAATAATTTCTTTCTATCTCATATAACACCGCCAATTTGGGAGACAGAGGCAGGAGGATCGCTTGAGGCCAGGAGTTTGAGATCAGCCTGAGAAACAAAGTGAGACCCCATCTCTGCAAATAATTTGAAGATTAGCCAGGCGTGGTGGCACCTGTGGTCCTACCTGCTTGGGAAACTGAGGCAAGAGGATCACTTGAGCTCAGGAGGTCAAGGCTGCAGTGAACCATGATCATGCCAATGCGCTCTAGCCTGGGCTATAGAGTGAGACCCTGCCTCAAAAAACAAAACAACAACAACAACAACAACAACAACAAAACATAGACCCTGGAGGAAAAAACTGAGTGTGTGAATCTTGGCTGTACTATGTACACCCAGGGGCAACTTGGGTACATTCTGTAACTTCTCGATGCCTTAATTTCCATCTCTTGTTAATTGAGGATAATCAAACCTACAGAATTGTTGGGAAGATTAAATGACACAGTCCCTGCGAAGCATTAGCACAGAGCCCAGCACACAGATAGAACTCAATCAGTGACAGCTTTTCTAATTGTGGTAGTTGTTGATCATTTGCACACTCTTCACTTTCCCTTTTCTTCCTTCCCCTCTCTGCACTTTGCTTTTTAGTAACATGTCAACTCAATGAACATTTTCTGAGTCCCAGCACTGTGCCAGGACAAATATGGTCACTACCTTGGGGAGCTTGCTGTCTTTTGAGGAGGCAGACACATAAACCATGAGGACAACAAAGCATGATAGACATTTTCACTGGTTTCCATGGATGAAAGGATGACAGTGGCAGTCACCATAATCAGGAAAGAAAGAGCTGAACAGGAAATGAAGTATAGAGGGAATAATCCTTGATTTAA